GGGGGAGTGGGCCCCAACCTCTGCTCCCCTTTCTCTCACTGTAGCCAGCCCAGTCTGCACCTCCTGAGTTCACTGTCCTGCCTGTGCCCCGGCCTCCTGAGCAACCCGTCCCTGCGCAACCTCCTGCAACACCCCTGACCCCTGACTCGAAAATAAACAACTTCAGAAGCCTTTCTGGGTTTGGCCTGTGTGTGAAGGGACCTTGGGTCAGCTCACTAAGAGTTCTGCTAGGAGGGGGAGCCACCAGGATTGTTGGGGAGACCTTAGATCCGGCAGGGTGAAATTAAAAAGAAAAAGAAGGAAGTTGCCTTTGGATGTAGGTTCAGCTCCTTCAGGTTTCCAGCACAGACTGGAAATACAGAGAGTATTCTTCACAGAACTAGAAAAAAATAATAACTCTGGATTATATCGGAAATTAGAAAAGACCTAGAATAGCCAAAGCAATCCTGAGCTTAAAAAGTAATGTGGAGGCATCACCTCACTGGACTTCAAACTATAAAGCCATATCAACAAAACAGCATGGCACTGGCATAAAAACAGACTTCTAGACCAAAGCAATAAAATAGAAGTCGTAGAACCAGATTCAAACATCTACACCTGTGGGAGTTTTGACAAAGTGGCCAGAACCACATGCTGGAGAAGAGACAGTTTCCTTAACAAATAGTGGTGGGACACTGGACTGCTGTATGCAGAAAACTGAAACTAGATCCCCATTTAGCGCCCTGTGCTAAAAAAAAACAAATCAAAACGGATCAAAGACCTAGATATGAAACCAGAAACATTGGAGCTGCTGGAGATAACACGGGAGAAACACTTGAAGCCACAGACACAGACTAAAACTTCATGAAAAGGACTTCAAAAGACAGGAGATAATATCAAGAATCAACAACTGAGACCACATCAAATGAAAATCCTTGCACATAGGAAAAAAAACCAAAGGAGCAAAGAAACAACCCAGTGAATGGGAGGTCTTTGCTAACTTCTCTTCTGATAGAAGACACATATGTAGAGTATAAAAATAAATTTTAAAATGAACCTCTGAAAAGCAGTGACTCACATTTATTGAAATGGGCAAGGGAACTGAATAGCTCGTCCTCAAACTCTGCCCAGGTGAGCTGCAGAAGTGGGAAAAGATATCAAGCGAGATTTGAAGAGTAACACTGCTGGTTTTCAAACTGCGTGCTTTGGTGATAAAATATGGGCATTACAGAAGGAGTTGGACTTGACATTTTTCTTTGAGATACTGGTGATGACTATAAATGTCTACGAAGACATGGTTCTCCTTTGCTGCCACTAAGTGTCTTGATGTCCACGACACAATATAAGTTACATCAAAGCCCCCTCCTTTAAATGTCGATTTATCCGGTGTAGCTACTGATGGTGCCCTGGTGGTAACAAATAGAGGGACTTAATAACATGAGCAGAAGATGATGCCCTCGCCCCCCCACGTTTGGTGCAACGCCAACTGCTTCCTACTTTAAGAACGTCTATACATATCTGTGTTCAAAATGGATAGTGTCATGCCAATCGTTATCAACCTGTGAATTCCATAAAGCCCAGGGAATTAGATCACTGCCAATTCCCAGAGTTCCTTAAAAATATGAATGCCGATTACAGGGACACTGTTTACTTTTGTGGAATAAGGTAGCTAAGTTGGAGCACAATGTTGAAAAGATCTGACCTGCAACATGCAAACCAAAACCACTCATAAGACCAAAAGGAAAACTTGTGCCTAAGCCCTAACATGAAAAATGGCTCACAGATTTAGCGATTTTGGTGGATTTGACTGCTCATTTAAATGAGCGAAAAATGTGTCTTCTAGGTGAAAATCAACTTATCTGTGCTCTGTTCCAAACCACCAGTGTCTGCAATGGAACTCGATTATGGCAAATTCAGATAATAGCAAATGACTATGCACTGCTACATTGCTAAGCACACTCCCGTGTGCAGTGAAACTATGCAGGCTTGCTTTCCATTTTGACCCAGGAAGCTGAGAACAGAGTTCAATGTTTCCAAAAACATCATCAGCCTTTTGTGTACTTGTGACTTCTCATCCCCTGAACCTAACCATCTTCCATTCATGGGGAGCCAACGGCAGTGACCGGAGGGACAGTGGCTGGGCAGTGAGTCCTGGCGACCACACTGTGCTCTGCCCAGAGGTAGCATCTGGAGGTCACCCTCACGTTGGCCAAGAGCTTTCACACACTCTGTCCTCGGTCATTTTCTCAAGAACCTTGAGGAAACGTGACCCACATATTACGCACGGGAAAATGGAAGTTTCGGGAGGTAATGGAAATTGGCAGTGGCCTCACAGTGGACCCTTGAGTTACGACCAACCTAACTTGTGAACAGCTTAGGTTAGACCCGAATTTTAGTTTTAATTTAGAAACAAAGTCTTGAGTTACGTTCGACTCTGGTGCTGGCCGCTGGTGCTTCCAGATGGTCTCAGACACAGAATTAACCCTAAAGAGTCCGGAAGGAAATTTACAATCCTTTCTCCTGTGGGGCTAAGTGAGAACTCCTGGGACAGCATCTCTCTGAGGACTCTGAGATCTGCCTGTGTACAGGAGAGAGGCTTTGGAGGCTGTGAGGGGCCTGAGTCTTCACTGACCACCTTGAGTTACAACCAGCCCTTGGGAACGAATTGAGCTTGTGAGTCAAGGGTCCACCGTAATAAGCAAAAAAAAAAAAAAAAAAA